AAATTAAGCAGATGACTGTTTACAGCTTTGACCTACTGATACTACACCAAAGGAGGTACTTAGATGTTGACTTATACTCTAAGAGAACTTTTGTATGTTGTAGATATGTTTGGTTAATTAATACTTGTCTCTACTCTCTAATCTAAGCCAATTTCTTCAGGCAGAGAAGTCCACGTCTGCATTTTTGGCATATTAAAGCCTCCCAGTGACTGCCAGAAAGGCCATCAGGTCCAACACACAAAGATTGAAGCATTTTATTCCTCCAGGAATAGTGTTGCATTTGCTAGAAATACAAAACCATCTCAGAACTCAAAACTTGTCTCAAAGACAGAACAGAACAGCTTTCAAGCAAAACAGACATAACAGTTACCATTTTGTGTTGCTTTTGGAGGCCTGCTGATGTAGCTTGCTGGTTTCTGAGTCACTGAGATGTACAGAATTGTCTGCAGCAGAGCTGTGAACATGCTTCTCATACAACCTCCTATTTAAAGAGTCTCAACAAGAACAAAAAACCTGCTTATCCAAATGAACTAACAGATAATTTCATCCTTCACTCAATAAAAAGACTCATTAGTGACTCCATTTCTATGAGGAAATAGTTAAAACCAAACAGATTTTTGTGCCAAATTCTGTTTTAATACAATTAGTGTCCAGTGGTGCCTAAAACTAATTCATCCAACAGCAACTCTAGTGATGGCTTTTTCCCCATTTAAGAAAAATTAACATTGAAGTGTGGAACCAGGCTATGCTAAAGGTAAAATAAACAAACCATTCTAGTCACTGTCAGCCCAGAAAATAAGATCCAATACTGCAATCTTTTGTACTGTTGAGACACTCACTCCCTGGTTTTCATATTTTCAGTTTTTCTTTGCAAACTCAAATGTCTGCGGGGACTGAGAATAGAAGGGAAGTTGTGGTTAAACCCTTCTGTCCATTCCTTGAATAACTGGATGAAAAACTAACAAACCATGATTCTCTCTTTCAACAACCACAGAATCACAAAATAAATTGTGGTTAATCTGCAGCAAAAGAATTGTCCATTTCTTCCAGGCAGATGAAGTGCAAGATACACAATGATTATTAGAGTACTTGCTAATAATGTAACAAGGGGATTTCCACAAAAAATGTTTAACATTGAAAATCTCATTTAAAATTTAAAAGCTTCACTATTTCTGATCAAAACGTTTAAAATAGAATTTTATTGATATTTTAAGACAGAAGACTGCAACTGACCCCACCTGCAGCCTGAATTCATCTGAATCCTGCACAGCATTGCATATGGCCCTTCTGGAAAACATTTTCTTAAAGAAAAAATAAATAAATACAGCATCATGTATTGATGGTCTAGAGAAGGAATGATTTCTAAAGAGTAGTCAGAAGGAAGCAGTGTCAAGAGTTATGTTTTCCAAATTTGCCTAGTCTGAAATTTAACTGCTTGTGTGCACCTTCGCTTCCCCATGTCCCTGTTTACTCAGCCCTAATTGCAACTTCTGTATGTCCTGTGAAACTCCAGAGGTGAGCTGCTGTAACACAACTTCCAGTGAGTCTGCTTTACACAGTGACATAGTACTGTTTATCATTCTGTATGCCCTTTTTTAAGCATATATTTTATTTTTTTTAATGACGCTCCACATTCAGTCAGGTTATCAGTCAACTGTCCCTATGGCCCTCTTTGAACTGAAGTAAGCACTTCTGCATCATCCACCTTCCTTCCAGTATTTGCTTCCTCTTACCTAGGAGACGGCAATCGTGTCTGCAATTATTTTTTCCTTTTTTATTCATCATGTTATTTAGGCCTTTTCTCTCCAGACCCTTCTTGAACTGGCAGTGTAGGAGTGAAAGTTGGAGACTGCTGCAACCCTTGCTCTTCTTTAGAGTTATGTGACAAGATCTAGAAAAAAAAAAAAAAAAATACTGATCAAAGTTTGAACACATTAAGACTTTGTTTAGCTTAAAAAGGAGAACTGATGGCACACGTGCCATTCTTCAAAATATGAAAAAGCTACTGTAAAAGGAAGGGAACAACTGTTCAGTATGTTGATACAAAAAGAAAAAAATTGAGTCAAACTTTCACCTAAGGAGGCAGAAGTGTACTAAGTTGAATACAGTAAGAGATATCCAGGGAGGTTCCCTCCTGGAAATCTTCTTTGAATATTCATGAGGAAAGAGATGGGGAGACTGGGTCTTACTACATGGTAGCAAAATCAAAGGACCAAGCAGATGAACTCTTCACATTTCTTTCTGTCCCCTAGGACTATGCCACAGAAGTGTATAAATGTGATTTTGAAAAATGAATCATGTTCTGCATGGCAGCTAAGGGTAAATGCCTCCCCTTTCTTTTCTTCCCCTGAAATGCTCTGTCCATAAGGTTAGTAAAGAAATTCTTTCCAATTCATATCTGATCATGAGATTAATTGCACACATGTCAGAAAGATGCAGGAACCAAGAGTCTAGATGAGTCTGCAGGACCACCATGAATACGCTGCCCATTTCTTGCTAGCACTGATCTGACATTCTAGAGAAAGGTGACACTTCCAAATCACTCTAGAAATAATCAGCGTTACTACAGGAAAAAAAAAAATCAATCAAAACCAGGAATCATTTCTTTATGACAGATCCCTGGCACTAACACTGTTCAGCTTAGTACTGCCATGTGTTCAGCCCACTGCACCAGAGCACTGCTTTTATGCAACCATTTCCACTGGTCACCAGACCATGTGTCTGTCTGCAGCCACATCACTGCCATTTTCAAGCAACCAAAATGCCTGCACACACAAGCCAAAATCTATGCTCCCTGTGTATGTGCACCTACAGATTCAGAAACGTTTGCAGCCTGTCACCTGCTGTTTATGCATGCTTCTAGCATGAGGGACATGACAGTGCAGGGTGGGAGATGCTTGCAATTTGGTCACATCATGGTTCAGTTTGGGTTACACAAAAGAGAAAAAACTGTGCAACAATCAGGGATTGAGCATTAGGCTGCAAGGAGGATTACAGGCATCAGGTGAGATAGCTGTTTTAATTCAACTTCTCAGCCTTTTTTAGGCTGAACAAAATGAGCTCCAGGACAGGTCTCCAGCATAGAATCATAGAATCCTCAGGTTGGAAAAGACCTTAAAGATCATCAAGTCCAACCATTACCTAACCATACTAACCCTAACTAACAACCCTCTGCTAAATCATGTCCCTGAGCATACTGAAGTGCAGAACAAATTACAAGACGTTTTCTGCCAAGACAGACCAGTGCATTTGGATTTTGTTTTTGCTTATTTTCTTGTTGTAACATCACACAGTTTCAACTCCATCTGTGACTGCAGTGCTGAGAGAACAATGGAAAGCAGAACACTTGCAGCTAGAATCATCCAAGTTTTAGCTTCCACAAGTCCTCTTTGCAACCCACAGAGCAGGGTCTGTCAGTAACAGGAGTCAGAAATGCAAAGAAGTTGGCCGGGTGGGCATACCACACTGGTACACTTTGTGGCCTAAGAGTACCAAGCATGCACCTTTCTTTAAACCACCATGATCACTTGAGATTCACACTTCCATTCACAGCAGTCCTTCAGGATCAAAACCAGACAAATCTCCAGCTGACGGGATGTGTTACATGAGGCAGAGCTCAGGAAAAAAGCAGCATGGAGCTGTCAGGGGAAGGGGTTAGGAAGAGGTTCTTCAGAAGAAGGCAGCGGGCACAGAAACAGGCTGCCCTGGGCAGTGGGCACAACCCCGAGTGTTGGAGTTCAAGAAGCGTTTGGACAAAGCTCTCAGACACACATTTGACTTCTGCGTGGTCTTGTGCGGAGCCAAGAGCTAGACTCGATGCTGCCTGTGGGTCCCTTTCAACTTGGGGCCTTCTGTCACTCCACGAAGGTCCATGCGCTACACCACGGAGGCCATGGGGAGGCACTGGATGTCACTCAGAGCAACGCAAAGGTACTTTAAGGTAACCCCTCCCCCAAACAGTCGCACGAGTAGTTGCAACGCAAGCTGCAGCCCTTTCGCCCTCCGTCTAAGAGGTTTTCCGACGTGTCTTATCACAGAACTCCTACAGTCGGCGAGCCCACCGCCTCAGGCCTCAACGCTCACTGCGCCAACGCCCCACGCTTAACCCCCGCGCTCCAGCGTCCCCCCAAGCGAGCCAACGCCGCCGCGGCTCAGCGGGAGCGCGGGAAGGAGCGGTGGGAGGCTGACCGCTTTTCCTCACGCGGGGCCACTCCGGCAGGTGCGGGGAGCCGCTCACCTCCTCTCAACACCGGCCGCCCACTGACGAACGCGGCCTGACAGGCGCGGCCCCCAGCAGCCCCCCTGCTCCGCCAACCGCCGCCCCCGCTGACATCACCGAGCTGGATTTAAATAGCTCCACAGCCCCGTGCCTCCCGGATACAGCGCTCCCCATTGGCGGAGCGGGCAGCCAATGGCACCGCTTCGCGACGCGCTCTCCGCCAATGGCCGCCGCGCGCCTCCCCTGTCGCTAAGGGAGGGAAATACAGCGCGGGGCGCGGGCTGTCAGGTGCGCCCGGCACGCCGCCCGCCCGCCGGTGCGGCAGCCGCGGGCGGGAAGCGGGGAGATGGTTGTTTTGTTGGTTGTTTTTTTTTCCTTCTTTCCCTTAATCCTTCCGCATGTCCTCCCCTCCCCTCCCACCCTCCGCTTTTTTTTTTTCCGTTTAACTTTTTTTTTTTTTGTTTTTCCTGCTCGCTGAGGGAGGGAGGGGGTCTGCTGACAGCGGAGATTTTGCGCGTGGGGCCACGGCAGCCGCGCCCGTGGCTTCCCCCCCACGCCTCACCCCGCGCCGAGGGGAGCCGCGGGGCTGACGAGCGGCCACGGAGGACGCCTGCGGCCGCCGGGGAGCTCCGCCGCCCTGAGCCGGAGCGGGCCGGGACGGGCTGCCCGGCCGCCGCAGCCGAGGAGGTAACGCCGCTGTGGGAGCTGCCGGAAGCGGGAGGCACAGCGGCCGCTTCCCGCCCTTCCCGCCGCCGTGAGAGGAGCGCCCGCGGAGCCCGCCCTGAGGGCCGAGCGCTGCGCCGGGCCCCGAGCTGAGGGCTGTGGAGAGGATCCCGCCCGCCTGGCTGGTAGCGGGCTCCCAGAGAGAGTGTCTGCCCTGCCGGCACAGCAGTGCGTAAAACATTTCTCCTTCCTGCTTCTCCCTGCGCATTTCTGTGGCTTGTCTCGTCCCCCTACCAACGGTGTCTTCACACACTGCCTAAACATCCCACATTCCTCAGTGCGCACCTCATAAGGCAGCGAGCAGAGCGGGGCTGAGGCATTTGGGGATTTCATCATGGATTCTGGCTGTGCTGTGCTGTGGGAGGAGATGCTGAACTTTGTGCCTCCTCGCTGCTCATCTCCCCCTTCATCCCCAAACCCAGCGCAGGGCTTACGTCACAGTTATGTGGGGAGATGTTTTTCTGAGATAAAAATTTCTATGCGACCAGAAACATTATTGTAGGAGAAGCTGTGAATACACTGGAGAGGCCCTGGTAAAATAAAATAAAATAAAAATCTGAAGAACACCCCCCAAAAAAACCTTGAAATAGGAAATCTGAAGTGCATGCCATTTATGTCTTGGTGATATAATGAAGTTTGTGTTAGGGTTTCTTTTACTGTGGGAAAGGGGAGAGTGCAATGAGAAATCTTCCTTTCCCCCCTGCATCCCCCCCGTATCCCTCTCCCTCCTCCCCCCCATATTTCTGTTTCCCCCTTACCTGCTCTCCCAATCGGTGAGGATGAGGATTATGAAGTCTTGTTTCCCTTCTGTTGTTGCAGGATGCCTTGGGTGATTCAGAAATGAGCAGTGGGAGCGCTTGGTGATTTTCACAGGAGGAAGACAGCAGCCAGCAAGGCCCCGGCTCCCTGCCATCTTGAGCCCTTCCTGGTGATTTGCAGCAGCACAGATAAGTACGGAGCACTGAGGACTGAAGTCAGCATTTGGACCTGACTTTATTTTAGTATAAATGACCACATGAGATTCATACCAATGAAGATATAGGAGTAAAATTGCAGAAGTACATAAATGCCTCTTCTAAAAGTGCAGTTTCGAGTATTTAAGGTTAATGAGATAGATAGAAAAGAGTCCTCTTCACGTGTGTTTACATGTCCTAACAGAAAGTGACGCATTATCTTACATACCAAGTGTGTTTTGGATGAATCTCTATCACCCTATTGATATCAGGGGAACTGAATTGATTTAAATTAGTGAAGGAACTAACCCAGCTAAGTTTTAAATAATTGCAATAATATTCTCTGTCTCTTTCAGTCAGATTTGCCCTTCGTGTTTAGTTGTTTCATAATCCTGCAGCTCTCCATTTCATCTTTACAAGACCAGAATCTCTATTTTCCTGTGAACAGGGAAAAAAAACCCACCACCATAAAAGGCAGTCCTTTTATATTCCAATCTTTATTTCCTTGTTTAAATAAACTTAGGGCACAAAAGCTCATCCTGTTTTGTTTTGTTTTTTTTTTTTTAATAGGCCAATTTAGTTTCATTTACTTACGCCGATATTTTATACAGCAAAAAGCTCTCAGAAGGAGAACGTGTTCAATGCACCAGAACCCTTTTAGGGTTTTGATAAAAGGCATGATATCACGAGTAACATCTCCACTTCTGTTATTTTTTTTATATAGTAGCAACGAGATTGAATCACCATTTTTAGCTATTCTTCAGCAGAACTCGTAATCTATCAATGTGTCAGCTCAACAGCAGTTTTCTCTTCACACTAATGTGAACCAGAAGGTCCAGCTATCGTAGATTTTGACAATTTTATCTGAGATTGCATACATTGCAGAATTTTGAAGAAAATGAATTGTAGGACCTACTATGTTTTTCTAAGCACGTACAAAACGTAAAACACGTCCTCGAAAACATTTTAAACTCATTTTACAGGATCACATTCCTAAGTTAGGTGTTTCATAAGCATTAGGTTATAAGCACTCTGAAATAACAAGTGTAAAATCATATGTGGGTCCCCATATCTTTTTAAATGTCTCAAATTGCCCTCTATGTTGTTACATAATGCGCCATAAAGAAATACATGCCTTCATTCTCTTTAAATCGCTCTGGCATGGATAGTGCTAAGCCTTCCTTCAAGTCCTTGTTATGCAAGTCCTTGCTACTGTTAATAGCTGTCAGCTCAGCGTGGTTAGTTAAAAAACAAGGTAACCACAGTTTTTGTGAAGCTCATTGCATTGCTGGAATTCACACTGACTCAGTTCCAGGTGCTTTGTTCCCTTTCTCAGCTATAAATTGAATTATTATGAGCAAACAGGTTTTTCTCCATTAGAAGAAAGTCCCATTCATTCCACTGCATCACAAGCTAATCTGCTTTTTGTTTAGTTGTGCCTATAAGTGTATTGTGTTATGAGTATCTGGATGCACTTCTGCAGTGTTAAATTGCAGTGAAATAGACCAGAATACAGTAATATTTTGAAAGTTTGTAAAAAATAAAAATAATTAAAAAAATGCAGACGTATAACTAAGTTCTGAAAAATACCTAGCACAGTAAAAATTCATGACCAGTCTAACAGTTATTAGGTAACAAATAATCCATATAGGCACTAAGCAATATTATGTAAAGTGAAATCTGTGTTACACAGTATAAGCAGCATTCAAGTGAAATTCAGGCAATGTGTAAAGAACAGAAAAAAATAATTTTTACAGCTATGATGTTACAATTTTCTGTATTTCTTTACTTGGGAAGTGGAATTTTCCTTGTCCTTTTGTAAAGGCACAGAATTAATAACAAGCACTTTAAAGAATCAGGTGCTTTGCCTGCTATTTGCTCTTTTATTTTTCCCCTCTGTTGAACAGATCATTTGCAGAAGAAAATCAGGAGAAACCGAGAAGGGTTTGCCAGTGTCTTGGAGATATTTCCAAGTAGCCTCTTCTTTAACAAGGCCTCAGATTTAAAGATACTGAAACAGGAATATCTCAACATTCATAATACTGCCTACATTAAGAAAAATTTTGCTCTCAGTTTATACTCGTGTGGGTATGCAAGTAGCAATTCAGTCAAGCATCACCAGGAAAGGACACTTCTTTCATATTCTAGTAACTGATCTATTAGTTTAACAATCCTCTGTGTCATTTTCCCTATTTTTTTTTTCCTTTTTGTTACTCTTGGAAATTTGGGGTGCTAGCTTATTTGTTGCTTTCCCTTCTCCTACTAGCACCCATTTTAAAAGGCTCAGGTCTATTCTGCTCAGGTTGTGTTCTGACACATGGAAAATTTTTATATTCTTTTTGCAAGCAGTAGGGTGGTGAGAGAGAGGTCTGCACTATAAAATAGCAAACCTACTAAACTGTACTCAGTGGGAGATTAAATAAGAAAGAAGAGAATGGCCGAGGCAATTCGTTTGTCGCAGATGTTTATGCAGTCCTGTTTTTGGTTTTAAGCTGGATTCATCAAACGTGCTAAAGAGTAATTTTTGCCTGATATGAAGTTTCTATCCAAGGAGACCAAGTGGGTTCAGTTTAAACTGTGATTTGAAAATGTAAGGAAATGTTACCAGTCAGACACAGGAAAGTCGGGCTGTTTTTACAATCTTAATTCAATAGTAAGAAGCAAAATGTATCGGAATTAAATTGCTGTGTAATGTAGTTACATTAGTTACAAAATCCCTTTGTGTACTAAGTACAAATATTTTACCATAACTGTCAGAATTCCATAGATGATAAAGGGTGCTTATGCTGTCAGAGGGTAAGCATGAAATGCCGACGTGATAACGTCTGATACCCAAATGGTGTATGCTGCTTTTGCAGTATTTCCTAAGTTTACAACGGAACTTCAGTAATAAAACTTAGTGAAAATGCATGAGATAAGCATGAATGTAATACGTTGTTGGTTTTTATTTTTTAGATAGGCTGGTTATCGTATTTAATAGAGTAGAACACAAATGAGAAGGCCCAGAAATAAAAGCACTTTAAAAAGGGGATTTTGAAAAATTCACCATGTCAAACTCTTTCTTAGTTCTTACTAGTTTCTATCTCTTTTAACATATTTTCCCCTTTTTGAAGTTCATTTCTGTCTCTATTCGGTCAAAAATTCTGCACCCTTTTCCCAAAAGGGGAAGCATGCTATGGTTACAAATGCCTTCTGTTGATTGAAGCAGAATGATTTTTTTTCTTTTCCCAAATGAATATATATGTATGAATTTGCTAAACTTTTCCAGCTATGTTTACGTATGTTATTTCTGAGAAATGATGAGGGATGCCCGACTTACTGCAGCATACTACGATGTAGTAACTGTAGTCGAGCATTTTTCTTATTTGTAATCAAATATACAGAATTGTCAGCGTATTTGCTTTTAAGTACTTGGAAGCTGAATTAGAAACAGGATTTTTAATACAATGAATTTGACATTTCAGTCTGCGCTTGCTTTTTTCTTTTCTAAATGAGCGCTGATTATCAGAAAAATCGAGGCTTACATAATCATGCCATACATTTTTCTGCTCTTCTTTCTCTTCCTCCGCTTTAGCCATCATTTCCCTCTGAAAAATGAAAATTTTTGAATAGAGAATTACTCTGACATACTAATTGTATACACATTTTCATGGGACTGCATAACCAGGCTATTTGTATGTATTTAGTAAAAGAAGGCCGTCAACAAAATATTACAACCTTGAGATGGCTAAACTTTAAAATTACAGTAATCATTAAATACAGCATTATCTTGTTGATGTGCCTGTCTGTGTACCACTGAGTCATTTTTCTTCCCTTGGAGAAGAAGGGTGCTTCTATTTATTCCTTCTTCAAGATAACAGAAATAAGAACGTCCTACCCCATTTTTTTTTTTAATCGTCACAAAGCTGATTCTCCTTCATAAAGAAGCTGGTTTTATTATTCAGTTTTCAGAGGATGAGAAGCAATTGCTGTGGACAAATATATAGCAAATGAATTGAAGCTCTGTCCTACTAGAACAATTACAAATTGAATTAATTACAAAGAACAATATTAAAATTTTAGCTAAATATGTTAACATGAACTCCTGCCCATAGGTGGCAGTCAGCTTTCACTATAGTAGAGATGCCAAACTTTTGGTTCATGATATTCATACTTATGCTGATGTAATTTTAATGGAGCATGCATATGTGTGTGTACAGAAGTATGCAGATCTCTGCATTGGGAGAGTGGGGAGAGGTAAAATTAACCCCCAGATTAATTATTGAGTATGAGTATTCTTATACTATATACAAGCAAAGTAAATTCTCATTTTTTTGAGAGAAGTTCCAAGCAAAAACACACAATTTTTTATCAGTCTTGCTGGTACTCACCTAAAAGAAGTAAAGAACACTCAGAAATGAGCAAACTTGCCTCTGCAAATTGAGTGGAAAGGCAAGTATGTGGCCAGCCTTAGACAGCATGACCTCATGCTATACCCAGTCCTCCAAGCTACGTTCCTATTTCATAGTTCTTTGTCTGTAAATTACAGAAGTGCTGGAATGATGATGTTGTATTCCAGAAATCCCAGCAATACATTTGGCAGATCCAGAAAAGATACTGGGAGCGAATGCATCCTCTCTGACATGGAGAGCCAGCAGCCTGCAATTCTCTTTCCCTTTGCAGAGCTTCCTTAGACACCCGTGGCAGCACTGCACAAGGGGAAGATGCTGCCAACAAGAGCAAAGACCCACTCAATTTTGCACTCAGCTTTTTTAGGGCTTTACATGGTTTATGAGTATTTCCTTTTGCAATGGAACTAAAGAGGCACTTGAGACCCCACCAAAACTGAAGGGGATAGAAGAAGCTAATAAGGTCTCAGTTTAAACCAAACAGAACTGGTGAAACTACGTGTGACATACTAAGACAACAGAGCTCTCATGCGAAAGGAAGGCTGAAAATTAAAATTCCTGAGGAGGTAAAATCATATTCTTTTTACTGTTACAGCTACACTAGGGTACTTCTTAAAGATTAATCTAATTATACGTCAAGGTAGCCCACTGTATGCATTTCACAGAGGTCAGGAGGTAGCATTTTAAAAAAAGAGAAGTGTGAAAAATATACAATTATTTGTTGCTACCAGAGTGTTCTACTGCTATGCAAGATTAAGGGCTCAGAATTGAACAGAATGGTGCAGTATTATTAAAACAGAAGGCCTAATTCTCCTTTTGCAAGGAAGGCAACTATACACACTGTTGTATAAGCTGAAGCAGTCGGTCTGATTTCATAGTTGAACAGGGTATTTTGAAGTGTATGCAACCATTACATGGCTAATTAGATACTTGCATATGCACAGCCCCATTTGCTCCCCCAACTACAATAATTATGAGGATTGCACTCCACGCTAATTTACACTCTTGTGTAACAGAATTGAATACAAGATAGCAGGTGGTGATAAACTGGCTGGTGGCAAATGTGTAAATTTGATATGCATTTTGAAAATCAAAGCTTTCATACTCAGTGCTGATCTTGACATGGAAAAGACGGGTGAAGAACTCCTC